CAAATAATAGAAGATCAGGTAACCAGCTCCTCAATAACAAAAAAAAGCAGAATAGATTGCTAAATTGTTATTTTATGGTTGCTTTCCAATACATGGGTGATAAATTTCACACCAGCCACTGAGCAAATCAGCAGCTGATTTTTCACCATTCTAATTATTATTTACCAACGTCAGCTCTCCTGCTTTTCAAAATACCATCACAGGAAGTGGGAGCTTCAAAATCTGCTCAAGAGAATGGCTGCAACTTTGGTTTAAGCTGATCTAGGGATGGTAGCACTCCCTCAGTATTGTGCTGATGTGTTAGCTTTTAATTTTGTGCTCACTTCCTCGGCGGAACTTGAGCAAGGCGTAAGTAGAGTTCTCCAAAAGGTGGATTATGCCTCATCTGTGAAGGGGTGTCGATGGTAGCCATGATGTGGAGATGCCGGTGTTGGACTGGGGTGGACAGGGTCAGAATTCACACAACACCAGGTTATAGCCTAACAGGTTTATTTGAATCACAAATACTTGGAATGCTGCTCCTTCGTCAGGTGAAGTGAAAGTGGGCATGGAAAACATTTAACATCACATTTTTTGTCTGAGAACTTGGTCTCCCTGCTGGAGGAAAGATGTTGTTAAACTCGAAATGGTGTAGAAAAGATTTACAAGGATGTTGCCAGGGTTGGAGGATTTGAGCTATAGGGAGAGGCTGAGGCTATTTTCCTTGGAGCACCGGAGGCTGAGGGGTGACCTTATAGAAGTTTATAAAATCATGAGGGGCATGGATAGGGTGAATAGCCAAGGTCTTTTTTCCAGAGTTGGAGAGTTCAAAACTAGAGGGAATAGGTTTAAAGTGAGAGGGGAAAGATTTAGAAGGGGCCTAAGGGGCAAATTTTTCACGCAGAGCGTGCTACGTGTATGGAATGAGCTGCCAGAGGAAGTGGCGGAGGTGGGTACAATTACAACATTTAAAAGGCATCTGGATGGGTATATTAATAGGAAGGGTTTAGAGAGATATGGATCAAAAGCTGGCAAATTAATAGATTAATTTAGGATATCTGGTCAGCATGGATGAGGTGGACCAAAGGGTCTGTTTCTGTGCTCTACAGCTCTATGACATTATGACTCTAATTTACCTCTGTTTTAAATGCAGGTGAGAAAGGAGTTCCTTCCAGGAGTCAACAAAGAAGTGGATATCTGTAAGTAAAGCCCCCTTATTATCTATTTAAACTCAGGCAAGGCAGAAATATCAGAGTATATTCATTGGAAGCAGATTGGATTGGCCATTTCCATCCTGTCACATGTTGTGTGCGAAGGAATTCAATGACAATGTTTGAGTTGAAGCCCCATAACCAGCAACTTTACCACTCAGTTCACCAACTAACTAACTAAACTGATTCGTTACTCTGGAGCAACTCCCACGAGTCAATGCTGAGAACTGAAGGAGTTTGAGGATCTGGCAAAGAAAACCCTGATACATTATACTCCTACTGCATTGGAGCAGAAGCCCAAATCTAATGCTTAAGAGGAAATTGGGTATTCATTAATCTGAGGGATGTGATCATTTCGAGCTATATGAATTCAAAATCAGCAGGAACATTGCTTGATAAGGTACTGAATAAATCTCCCTCTGCACATCCATCCACCAATCCAGACAAGTACAACACCAGCTAGATGTGGAGTAAAACAGCTCCAACACTTGTCCCCTCAAATATTCACAGGGTAGCCACAACACGGGTTAGAAATTGAGTAAAGCTCCCTTTATACTGTCCCATCAAACATTTCCAGCGCAGATATACATGTATTCAATGTAGAAAAGTGGGAGAAGCTGAACCAAAAGAATTGTTAATATCTGAAAGACCGGCTGAAAAGATGATGACTGAAGAATGATGCTGATGCAAGCTCAAGAGATATCCAACCTGGGTGTTTCACAACTGGAGTAGTAGGTTGACACAATTGGATATGAGGTAATAATGAACTGAGCACCTAAAAGGTTAAGGGAGAATATTAAAAGTCAAAGGCACAAAATTGTTAGTATATTTCTGAGTTGGGGAAAGTCTAAGAAGCTGCTATGCATAGAAATCTTAACGTCTTTTCATTATAACCAAGACTTTTTGGCTTAAGTTGAAAGTAACATTATCCACCATTAATAGATTGTTGATTGATCAAAACAAAATGGCTAAGTGCCATTTGGATTTTTAACAGAGCAGCCAGGTTTCGCCAAAGTTCACCCTCCCATGATCAACACCCCAATTTACAGAGGTATTCACCTCCTCCTCCTCCACACCCAGTACATCCCAAAAACCCGGCACCCACTTCACAGAGGCAATTACCTCCTCTTCCCCACCCAATTCATTTGGCACGCTCCAGACGGCCAGGACAGTGGAACTGGTGAACTTGCTCCCCCGAAAGTGAGGTGCCTGTGAAACCAAATGAACAGTGGTGTTTGACCACTCTTCTGATGTTTAATTCATGTTATTTGTCCACTTATAAAACTACGTCACCTGTGCAGAGATAGGAAGAACTGCCGCTGCTAGAGTCAGAGATAACACAGTGTGGAGCTGCATGAACACAGCAGGCCAGGCAGCATCAAAGGAGCATTTTCTGAAGAATGGTCCTGACCCAAAATGTCGACTTTCCTGCTCGTCTGATGCTGCCTGGCCTGCTGTGTTCCTCCAACTCCACACAGTGTTATGTACGTCACTTGTGTACTCTACTTCTACACTGAGGAAATCTACATCACAGTAGCTTGCATCTAAACCATCATTCTCTCTGTCAATGCCAACAATCTATACCATCATGTCCTCTATCTAGGCCACTACACTCTCTGTCCACACTACCACATCCTGTGTCTAGACAACTGTAGACTCCATCTACCACATCGTACCCTCCATTATGCTCTCCATCTACCTCAACACACACACACTGTTCATGGCATCTTTTCTTTGTCTATTTCACCCTGTCCAGTGTCTTTGACACCATATGTGTGCTCTAAGATTTTAGAGGTGATTTGTAGCTCGGGTTGTGGATGTTATAGTTCATTGGCTCACCGAGCTGGTTCGTTGTTCTGCAGACATTTCATTACCCTGCAGTCCAACTCAGAAATATACTAACAGTTTTGTGCCTTTGACTTTTAATATTCTCCCTTAACCTTTTAGGTGCTCAGTTCGTTATTACCTCATATCCAATTGTGTCAACCTACTACTCCAGTTGTGAAACACCTAGATTGGTGTAACATCATCAGTGCAGCCTCCGATGAAGCGCTGTTGTGTTTTCCCGCCTGTTATTTAAACTCTGGGGTCTGTCAGGCTGGGTTACCTCACCTCCAGTTTTCCTTTGCAATGGATTGTATACAGGGTCTAACTCTACATGTTTAATGATGGCTTTTTCAGTGGAGAAACAGACACCAGAATCCTAGAAGCCTGGTTCTCCACTCAGAAAGCCATAATAAACACATAGAGCCAGACCCCATATACACTCCATTGCGAAGGAAAACCAGAAGTGAGGAATCCAGCTCAATGGACACCAGAGTTTAAATAACAGTCAGGAAAACACAGCAGTGCTTCATCGGAGGCTGTACTGATGATGTTACCCAGCAGGGTAATGAAACATCTGTGGAACAACGAACCAGCTCAGCGAGCCAACCAACCACAACAACCATATGTTGTGCCTACACCTGACATGACTCTCCATGCAAGGGATCACGTCGATGCTGAAGACACTGTGGCAGCCCATGGAACTGGAAATCTCACCAGTTTTCTTGTTGGCTTGTTCTCCTTTCAGTGAATGCAGTCTGCTTTGTGCTGGGGGAAGGCTGCAACCTGATCTCAGCCACTTCCTCCCTGCCTTGCCAGCTGTGACTGAGATCAGCAGGCTGTAGTAAGGAGCAGCGCCAGCACAGCACCATCTACAGCAACCCGTCTGAAGTTGCTCAAAGGATGTTGCCGTGCAGCCAAACATGTACGGAACAAACCCCAGACACAGGGCGAAACACATTCTTGCAATAGTCCAACAGACACAAGATCTTAAAATAAGGATGAACAATAATACCATCTTAAAGGAGATGCAGTATATGGATTGTCACTGGATTTGGAAAACCACAGAGCTGAAGCAAAAGAAATGAAAGTTTCAAGGAGGAAAGCACTTTCGTAGCATTGGCCACTAGGTCCTCAAGGGACAGGGAACTGGACCTGTCTCTGGACTGGATAAAGGATCTCCTCCCCAGGATCAGGAACCTGACTCCCACCAGGATTAAGCGCCTAATTCACATTGAAAGGAAGATTGTTTAGTTTGCAGGTGGCTCAGAATGCAGAAAACATCAGTCAGTAATTAGACCTCCAGTATATTATTATGGAGCACTGGGACCTGCAGGAAGGTGCAGAGGGTTTTGGGTATCACAAATGCACAAAGTAGTTTGATCTACTTCTGAGTGAGATGACAGAGCCCCTGGGTGAACTCAAGGCTGCTGCTTTATATGGCATAGCTGGGCTTCGACAGGAATGGTGTGGGTTATGCGGCCTGGATGCACTGTGCTCAGGAAGCTGCACGAAACCACACAGCATGTGACTAAACCTGTGGGCTGTAAGCCAGCCTGTACTAGACTGCAGTTTGCGAGCTCACACGCCACTCTGCAGCAAGACGCACCAAGGGATCCTGGACGAAGGCCTTAGGTTCGGGTTTGTATTGAGCGTGAGCAGGGGACAGAGGGGAGGAGTGCTGGCGATGAGGCTGGGGAAGTAAGAACTTGCATCTGAAACAGGAACTTGTAAGATCCAAGGAATTTCCTCCTCAGTTTATATTTATGAAACATTAAGGAGCTGGGACAGTTGTAATCCGACCCTCCTAAGTTGGGGATGTGATTTAACTTAAGATATATGCAGCTATGGCACTTAGAATCCATGGGCGCCACATTCAAATCAGTTTCTGATTACACTGTACTTTCACACCTTTATTTCATCCGTACATGAGACGTGACCTTTGTTTGGCAGTTGGTGCCTCTCTGAGTTTCTACCTCGTTTTAGCTTCTAAACCTGACAATCATGGCATCAGCGAAGAACCCGGAATGGATCCACTGGAAAGTTGACAACCGAGGTAAGTGTAGAAAATTGTACTAACTGTGAGCGTGACTGTGAAGAGTAGGGAGGGGGAGGGGGTGGTTCAAAAAAGGCCTCGCTCACACTTCAGCTTTTGTCTTTAGTGTTGTCTGATGCTCTGACAGCACTTTTAACCAGAAGTCTACATTTGAGGGAATGCCTTATAAGTGGTGCTGTCTGCAATATATAAAGGTTGATGCTTTGGTATGTTTTCCAGTGAATGTTAGCTCCTGGGTACAGGTGGATTTGTGAAGATTGTTCTGTCAACTATTCTAACTGCTGGGACTAATCTGTTCATTATTGAACAGCGCAAAGCAAGTCCTCAGTTTGTGCCACAGTTTGATGGGCGTTAGTGAGTTCACAGCCTCTTTCACAATGAAGTGAACAGAAACTGAAGCTGGCAGAGATGTAAAACAAGCCCTACACTATCAGATAAAGTCAAGGAAGCACTTGCACACTATGATTTGATGGCCAGTAGTGGCAAGCTCAGATTCGTATTTTGTGCGTCTTGGTCCAGAGAAATTCACCTTACTGCAGGGTAGACAAGTAAAACCAGGAAATGACTGGCACTGGACTGACCTGGCCAATGACTGGCACTGATCTGAACCAGCCCTCTACTGAAACAGGACAGCCCAGAGCCTCTCATTTCCATTGAGGATGAATGGATCCAATTGTGAATAGTTCTGGTCTTCACCCTGGGCCCTTCTGCCAGGGTTGGTTTGCAGTTCTTGACATTACAAGGTGAAAGAACCAGTTGCTGAGACCCGCATGGGCCCAAACATCAACTAACATTAGGTAAAACAGCAGGTAGCCAAAGGGTTCGATCTTGTCATATTTTGGCTAAGTGTCAATTTTGTTGAGTTTCAGGGAGGGTTTGAATGGTGAAGCAAGCTCAAAGGGCCAAATGGCCTCCTCCTGCTACTAGTTTCAAAGTTTCTCTCTGCAAGGCCTAGAGAGGTTTCTCACCATATCATCCCCAACTCGCCTCATTAACTACCCACCCTGGCCTTATCACCAATGCTCTCATTCAGTGAAAGGATGATCCAACCACTTGTCACACCCAGAAGAACTCACCACTGCCAGGATATCTTGGACTGGCATCCCTGGCACTGGTGCCATCTTTAAAAGGCCACTGTGCACCCAGACAAGCATTGACAGTGCGGAGCTGCCCTGTGGGGTTCGTGGTATTTGCCATGGACATGGCACAGAAAGGGGAACTGGCATATCACTTTGTCAACGGAGACCTGGTGGTCCTGGTGGATGGTATCTTGCAAAGAAGGGTGGTCCTGTTTCCCCAGGACCAGCAGTGGAGACCATGGTACCAGACCATGCCAGTCTGGTGTGACGTTACCAACCCTGGTTAGTGCAATCTCAGCCATGTGGATGAATGCCCAGTGCTGTAAGAAAAAGGTCATTCCCCTTCGACTGAGTACCAACTTGCCACCAGCGTCTCCCTGCTCCCTCATATTCATGCCGGAGAGGGTTGTGGAGCTGGCCTCATTAAGGGCATTTAAGCGGCTATTAGGTAGGCATATGGATGATAGTATAAGGTAGGGGTGGAGGTTAGATAGACCTTAGGTTGAAAGTTCAGCACAACATCGTGGGCCGAAGGGCCTGTACTGTGCTGTACTATTCTATGTTCTATGTTCTATGTCCACACGTCTGCAACATCTTCCCTCACACACCCCAACCCCTGGCACCACTAAGCCTGCATACCCTCTGTGCTGCCTCCTCACTCGCTCCCCACCTGCGCTAGCACTAACAGCTGTGCTGGTCACTTTCATCTCACTCAGTCCCTCCCTTTCTCTCCATTCAGCAGTCCACAATAGGACACAAAATAGCACGACAGGTGGTGGGCTGCCCAACATTCGACTCCTCAGCCCCACTGAGGAGAGGATCCTGACCCTGACCATCCAAAACAGCTACCTGACCATGTCCAAGCCCCTGGGTTGGTATCGGAGAGTGGCATTGACACATTGTGTCGGGACTCCCAGAGGGAAGGGTCTTTCCCTTGACGTGACTGAGGACTGTTGTCAATCACGACAAGCTTCCTAGCCTTGTATCTGCATTAAATGGCAAGGAAAGATATGCGCACTGTGGTAGCTCTGGCAGTGAGGTCAAAGGGCATCAATACAAGGCAAGGCAATGTGACACAGGAATGCTGGAAGCAGCTGGGTAGGCCCTGCCCTGATATGGGTTTTCAGGAGTATCCTCTCTGCAGGACTCCTGCTGAAACTCACTCATACTGTTGTCGGGCTTGTCTCTGGTTCAGAGGAAGGGTCACTCGACCTGAAACGTTAACTCTGATTTCTCTCCACAGATGCTGCCAGACCTCCTGAGTTTTTTCCAGCAATTTCTGTTTTTGTTTCTGGTACCTTCTGGGTTCAGGTTGGACTAGTGGTCTGGTTACATAGGGTCATTCAGGCCTTCAGCTGCTGCATGGTCCTCAATGTTGGCTTTTGCAGTTGACAGATCTTCCATGGTTTCTGCTGTATTTATTCCATTATCGGAGAGTGGTTCATAGAGAAAACAGGTGCAAGAGTAGGCCATTTGGCCCTTCAAGCCTGCTCTACTATTCCTTCTGCAAATGGCCTACTCTTGCACCTGTTTTCTGGTGTTCCTGCTTATCCCCAATATTTTTTGATTTGTTTAGCACAACTCCATTTTGACATCATACAATGTTTTGAACTTGACTGAATTCTATGGCAGAGAGTTCCACAGGCTCACTACTATCTCAGTGAAGAAATTTCTCCTCATCTCAATTCTAAATGGTTTATCTCTATCCTTAGACTGTGACCCCTGGTTCTGGACTCCCCTGTCATGAGAAACATTCTTCCTGCATCTACTCCTGTTAGAATTTTATAGATTTCTATAAGGTCTCCCTTCATTCTCCTGAAAGTCAGTGAATATAATTCTAACCAATTCAACCTCTCTTGGGTCCCTGAATTTGGCCGAAACACTACTACAGTCCCATGTTGTTCCTCCCTTTACCTGGACTGAGGCAACACCAAGCTTTTCTACTCAGGTCAATCTGTGGGCTCTGTTCCTGTTGATTCCTCAGTAGTTGTGACCATGCCTTTCTCCAACTAAGGTGCTCATGCAAGGGAATATTCTCGGGCTTTCTGGTAGATCCTGAGGTTGCATTGGGTTGTGTTACTTTGTAGTGCCTTGGCATGTTCCTTCCCCCATCTTCACCATGCTCTGCTTCAATTGGTCACCGATCCTCGTGGTGTCTTGGTGGTTACATCCCCTCCATCTCTGTCAAAGAGCAGTCAATGGGAGTTCAAGAGTCTCCTCTTCCGGCCAATCGCTGTTGTTACTGTTGCCATGTTCGTGTGTCCATTGACCTGCTCTCTGAAGACTGGCATACTCACCTGGAGGTCTTCCTATAGCTGATGGTGTGAAATATCATTGTTGGAAGCTGCTTCAAAGCTGTCTGCATCCAACAGAGTTTTCTCTGCTACAGGGTTAGGTGTGTTCCTATATTTAAGGCCTCTATGAAAAACTGGAAGATATCGAACTGTTTAGATGTTTCTAGAATGAGCAGTGGTTTTAGTAAGGGAGAAAGCAACTTGTGTTTTCTTGGAAAATGAGGTCAAGGGCTTAATGTGAGCTTTGATCCACTTGCTGGTACAGAAAGTCAGTGACTTTGGGGGAAAAATAACAGCTGAGCAAAGCTTCTATAGTGATACGACATAGGGGTTATTACTCTTAATTGCTGCAAAAGTTGTCTTTGAAAGAGATTTTGTGGCCTTGTGTTGAAGGCTGCCTTTTGGACTTGGTTTTGCTGGGAAGTCAGAATGAAGGAAAATCTCCAAAACTACAAATCTCCCTCCCTTTGTTGGTGGGCACGTTTGACAACCTGATCACATACCTACTTCTCAGTATTACATCAATTATTTAAACCTTGAGAAGCTGATCACTTTTAAAGACCTAAGAGCAGTTTGATTTCTATCTGAACCAAACTTTGTTTCGAAGACCTTCCATCAGTCTGCAGCTATCAACAATTCAGGTTTGTCAACAAGAGATCCAATGGACTGTGAGATCAATCTTTGGTTTTCAGATTCGATTAATAAGAGTGTTTTCCTTCCACCCTCATCAAATATCATTTCTGTAGGGTCTTTGTGTGCTTTGTGTCGTGCTTGTGTTGCATGGCACGATGGCTCAGCGGTTAGCACGGCTGCCTCACAGCACAGGGGACGTGGGTTCAATCCCACCCTTGGGTGCCTGTCTGTGTGGAGTTTGCATGTTCTCTCCCTATCTGTGTGGGTTTCCTCTGGTTTCCTCCCACAGTCCAAAGGTGTGCAGGTTGGATAGATTGGCCAAGTTAAATTGCCTGTAGTATCCAGAGATTTGAAGGCTAGATGGATTAGTCATGGAAAATGCAGGGTTACAGGGATGGGATGGGTCTGGGTGGGATGCACTTTGAAGGGTTGGTGTGGACCTGATGGGTTGAATGGCCTACTTCCACATTGTAGGCATTCTAAAAGTTAGTATAGTTCAATATCTGGATAATAGTTTAGATATAAACCAGTTTTACCACTTGTCTTTAGAAATTAGATTTGATTTATAATAACTGAATGATTTTTAGAGGAAGAGAAGACTAGAAGAGTTCTGGTTTAGCTATTTCATAGGATCTGAGAGAATTGAGATGGCTGCTCCAGTACTGAGTTTAAATCAAGTGTCACCTTGTTTTTAGAAATTGGTTTTATTTTATAACAAATGGATTTGTAGTGAGTTCATGAACAAAACCAGTCCCTCAGTAAAAGTACAAAAGGAAATCGATTGGCTGTTTTGGTGATTGAATCAAAAACTGTGCCTTCATACTGCCTATTGCCTTCGATGAAGTGCCCATTGGGATGTGAAGGCAGACCCTGGAGGGATACAGGAAGGCTGGTCACAGCCACTGCATGGCATCCAAAAGAATGGAGATGGCTGCTTCTGGATCAAATTTAAATCTTCCCTTCTGATTTTTAGCAAAGTGCTCTGTGCCCCAGA